TCTAATTTCGCAGGTTTATTTTATTGTCATTCACTTTATCACTGTTTTCGCATCTAAGGGAAATTAAAGATTTCATGGCCATGAATTAAGAATTTGTTGGATTTATTAATTTGTTCCCTCATTTTAGTTAAATCATGGGTTATTTAAGGAACAAAATTAATGAAACATAGACAGTGGCCACAAATTAACAAGTTGTAGGAATGAATAGCCTATCTGTCCTGTGTCCCGCAGCCCTGCAAAGCGCAGAGCCCGATATGAAAGAATTATCTGGGGAAATGACTTAGTTACTACATTTCTATTGCTTTCCATGTTGAAGAACTTTGAGTCGTTTCTATTTTAATGTACTTTTAAAGTTTAAATCACATTAAAAGCTTAATTTCTACATTATGAATGAATGATGATGCATTTATATACCGTCACTCACAGTCGCTCGCACGTGTTTTGCGCATGAGCCGCACGCAGCCCAAAATTAAACTGCTTAATCGACCAGTGACAGCTTTAGTCGATTGCATCTCTTAACAACAATTAATCGATCATCGATTAATCGTTGACATCCCTAATTTGAACAATTTAAAATACAGTATTGCATTAAACAACAAAAATGGACATTAAAGCCGGAGTTAAACTTTAAAACACTGCATCACTGTATGAATCAAATATACATTGATTCTTATTAAAGTTATAAAGTGATTAATTCAAGAGAGTGAGTGATTGTCTCTGTATATTGTTGTTTGATTAACATTAATGATACAGACAGCAGTAGGTTTATTAGGCTGCTGTCTCTTTAAGACCGAATGCACGGATCTAATATACTGACATGCAACCTATTTCTTTCCTAATTGTTTATGTTCACTTAAGACATAACTGACTGTCTTTATGTAAATACTCGCTAAGACAGACATTTTGACATATTATTGTGTATATTTGATCATTTATGCGCATGCCTGAAACTCCACATATACTTTGCTTGTTCGTGTTAGCGCCGCCTCGGAGCGCTTGCACAGAACACACCTGGGGAACAGTCTCTTTCGCAGTTAATGCGCTTTTAATAACACTTTTTAAAATAAAGCATGTCCCACAGTAGACTGCATTTTACGACAGTCACATTGCATGATTGGACTGATTTGAACGTTAAGTTTAGGAGAGGCGAAAGCTTACCGCTTGAAATTATTGGAACAGCTTGGGGCACAAATCGAAACTGTAACGAAAATTTGATTCATCGCAGTACTACTGCTAGCTCACGTGGAGTTGTTTTTTTAAATACGTCACCACGCATGAAAGACATGATAGAGACGCGGGATATAATTTGACCAGCCACAGTCATCTAATAGGCAGACACTGCTGTAGTTTTAACATTATTATGAGGACATAAAAGATCACAGTCTCTACGTTTCACTTGAAAAGTAGATCGTAGATGTCTTCGAGATCGATCACTATATAAAATCGACAGATCGCCCACCCCTAATAAGAACTACCTAAAATGACGGAAACCATCTTTGGAAAAAATGTATACTAAGTGTTTTTTTAATTAATTTAGTTTGTCTCGCATCCCATTGGATTACATGGAGAGGGTGGGGTTTATGACCTATACTGGGTCCAGCCACCTGGGGGCGATCTAAACATTTTGGCTTCACTTTTCAGCACTTGTTTTGTAACGACAAGAGGGTGTCTTTCGAGCATATGTTTGACAAGGGTGACTACAGGTTTTAAAAAATAAATAAAAGGTAGCGTGGAAAACCCTTATATGGAGCCGTTCATTTATAACACATCAATTTCACTAATATTAGAACTAGGTTAATAAATTCATGTGCGTACTAGGGCTGCAATAAATGATTATTTTGATAATCAATTAAAACGATTCTTAGAATGATTAATTTACTAATCGTCGATTATTTCAATTAACTCAATATGTTAATTGAAATACTCGTCGACTATTTCAATTAACATATTGAGTTATACATATTCTAAATAAAAAAATAAAAGGTAATCACTTCAGCTTTTGAAAATGTCAAACAATTATATTGCTATCATACAATTACAGTATTATACAATTATTTTTTTTACAATACAAATAAATATATTTGGCACACAAAATGAGATGACAAAGACATTCTCATTTACCATTTAATTAATTCATCATTCTGACTTCTTTTTTTTAAGTCAAATGGATATTGAACATAAAAGGTAAGCGACGTTTTATTTTTGGTAAACTATTTTATTCAGAACATAATCTCTTAAAACACCTTATAGTGTTACATTAATCAAAGCAGTCCATATCTAGATCAAGCTTTAATTTAAAATGTAATTTAAAGTAGTAATTCTAACTGGAACTGTGACACTGACCGTTTGATAATGTTTAATACTGCAAAGCTGCTTGGTTTAAAGCAATCTATTGCATAAAGTGCTATGTAAATGAATGTGACGTGACTGGACATTACTGGAAAGAGGAACTGCAAAGCTGGTGCTAACCTCTACATCACTATGATCAGATGCTTGTCGATAATGTCAACTAATCATTCAGCCCTACTATATAGGCATGTGTTGTGAATTAGGCGAAAAGTTTTTGAGAAGTTTGAATGTGCATGTTTGACTAAACACAACTAGTCTACGCAATTATTAGGCAACATCACTAAGGAACTATGGATGACTAGAAAAAAATGTCTAATGCTCTGAATTGTGGTTGGAACATAAAACCATTATTTTAAACATTTTCTGCACAATCAAGGTTAATATTTACAGTCAAGCAACTAACACCACAAATGCATTTATTCGTATGACTGTGGAATGGCGTACTGAATGACACAGTCTAACATTAGTTACACATTTCATAAAATGCCAATGAAGGTGCACACTGCAAACTGATAAAGCAGTGCAACAGGTCATTTCAGAGATTTTAGATACACTGTGTGAAAGGCCTATAGCAGTAACTATCAGCATTTTTTTCTTGTTTTGCTACAACATGGGTTATAAATGTTAAAAGAGACACACGTTATACTGACAACATTTCTAAAGACAATAAAAAGCGAATACTTACCGCACTACATCATCTATGTTGTTTCTGTAGACACCTTCAAGTCTTTCAGCTGGAAAGCCCATTGCGATTATATTAGGATAAATATCTAGATAGCAATGTTAAGGAAATCTAGAGACTCTTTCTAGGGAAACTGATATGGACAAGAGAAAAAAAAATACAATCATCTGATTTAATATGAACACATTTATAAAGTCCACTGGCTCCTGGTCTTGCACAATTGTAACAACCAGTTAAACACAAATTAAAAAACGCTGAGACAAGGTAGGTGAACAATGCAAAGCAGCTAAATGACGCCACAAGGAGCAGGAAAACTAACAAAGACCAAGCCCCGGTTTAAGTGGAGACCTTGTGCTTTACTTTTTAGTTGTGCAATGAGAGCTCAGATAACATGATTCTGGGTAATATAGAACAGATGGCTCTCGCTGTAAGAGACCAATGCATAGACCTCTAACCCAGAAGGCTACACAGGGGCACTAAATAAATCACTGTGCCTTAGCCCAGCCTGGAATTACATTCCTTCCTCACCTTTCCATAACGAGTGCATCACTTCTTCAGTCCGACATACACATGCAGGCCTATATAATCAAAGATTATCTAATCAGACCCTGATATAGCAGACAAACAGTTGGCAAAGCAATTCTATCAATATCTATCACAAAGAAACTCACAATTGTTTAAATCTACTTTAAAAATCAAGTCTGGAAATACAACAAAATATCAGATGTTAAATCTACCGTGATCACTCTAATCTGTATACAAACAAGTTAAACAGAGCCTTAATTATGATCTCAAAAAAAAAAAATTTCAACAATAGTACCATACAATGATGGTCTCTGACAGAATGCTCTAGACAAAAAAAAAAAACATCTGGGCTAGATGACGGTAAGCAATGTCGTCTTGTGTTCTCGGATGGTGTAGCATGTGGTTCTCACTCCTGATCTGGCTAACTTTACGTTTGAGTAAAGAAGAAAAAAATAAATAAATTTTGACAGCTATATGGATACGAGCTCAGGGATGGTGTGATTCTGATAAGCCATAAGAGGTCTTTAAATGTTTACCATCTGAAGCAGCTAGGAAATTAGATTTCACTGTTTTCACATGACAATCATAACGAGTTTAAATTTTAAAATATCTAAAAATAAAGGTCATAAAACAGTGAAAAGCTTAGGAAGTTAAGAGATCCACATCTCCATGAAACAGTTAATATGCATGTAAAAAAATATTGGGTCTTTATTTTTAATGGTTCAGATAAACAGAACAATTCTTTGATCCTTAAAGTCTGAAACACACGGACAAATTCAGTAAACAGATCATAATGATCTGATCAAACTCAATCAATCAGGATATTTATCCATAACACAAATGCACTGCTCTCTTTTAAAAAGCTCCCTATATTTGTTGTCAGAACAAAATATGTAGAAAAATGCATTCCACATATATCTATCTTTCAAAGAATTGCACACAATATTATCCAAATTCAAATCAGCATGACCTATTTAGTCATAGTGAATGTGACCATATCGCTTAAGATAAATGCCATGCATAAGTAAATAACCAGCTATAAATATGATGGACTGAATGAGGCATCCATGATACTCACTGGACATAAAAATAATCGAAGGTTTGACAAAAAATATATATATAATTTAAAGTCCATGTTGGACAGTTTCGAGCAGAACTGTCACTTTGTCCAATCAGGTGAGTGCTGCACTGACATTACATCACACATTGGTGTGTTGTTGTTTTTTTTTCCCTCACAGACTTAAACATTTGCATCAAATGATGGCTTTATTTTTGAAGTCTATAGCAATTGTCAAGTGAAAATCTAAAGAACTGTGTTATACATTTCAGGTAAATAAATAAGTAACTTTTAACTGCAAAAGTATTGGGAATAAATGGATCGAATAAAACCTAAATCCTAAAAAGTCTCATCTTGGCTAACTTCAAGAAAGAAAGAAAAAAAAATGTAAGCTTAAAACTAGTAAACATATTTCATGACCCACGATCACACAAGATGCATTTTATCAATCATTGCCGTAGACAGTGTTGCTTTATCAGTAACATGAAAAGGGGACTGAAAGAATTAAATCATTCTCTATATTTATCCTTTGCAACTTCTGTAAGAATAGAGTCCTACATTCCACTTCAACACAGTTTAAATGCAATGAGTGCATAACAAGATGCAATGCAATAGTGAACCCACACACCATCAAAGCCCCTGCAAATCAATGTCCGTGCAATCAATTAATTCACAGTTTACTCATGTAACACACTAGATCTAAAGCAAAACTGCATCCTTGTTTTGTGTAAATACACTTAACATTTCAAAATTCTTGACAAAACATCCACCAAGGCCTACCAGATTCCTAAAGCCATTGTTATAGTGCTACACAGAGAAATAATTGCACCTCTTCGATTATTTGATCCTGCCCTCTAACTGTCCTTCCAGCCCTGCCTGTTTCTTAGTGTTTGGTACACCTGTCTTTTTGTATATTACAGGACAACGAACAGGACAGTGCGGTGAACTGCACTACAGCTAAACCTCAGGTTTGGTTTTAATATTTCATCTTCAATAACACCGAATCCTGCTGAAATAAAACAAGTAATCAAACCACTTTTCCACTTCATCTGCAAGGATGTAATGCACCTGAACAAAGCCTTCACAAAACCAGCAATGTACATGCATACAATGCCTGTGCTTGAAAAACACAAATGACATTGACATATGGCACATAACAGTGAGCAGGCATCAGTGACATTTCTAAAACACGGCGCTACAGAGGGAGACCTCTTTAACAAGACTGCACGAATCCCTTCCTGCGATTACGAAAAAGACATACTTCACATACTAAAGCATTTCCTTTTGTACGCAAGCGTGTGAACTGACTCATTTATGCTCAAATCAAAACTACACCAAGTTGAGCGCGAGATCTATGTTCTGCGAGCAGCTGATGCAATGGCTCTTTGTGTGACACTGCTTGTGCATTTCATCTAATCCATCGCATTATATAAGCCAGTGAGACCTCTAAGCGACGCATCTTTTGTTTTAAACCCCCCCAAACTGCAGTTTTCGTGCGCGAAGCCTTGTGTGCTGGATTTCAGATTAGCAGCCAATCGATGGATCAGATTACATAAGAATGGAAAATAATGACCTAATACAACCTGACGTTGCTTACATTGTAGTTTGCACATGTAACTTGTCCAGAACAACTGTACAAATGAAATGAGTGGCGTGCAGTCTGTTGATTCTCGGTCTGCTCGATGACTTGGTTAGATTGAGAACTGACATGAATCTAAACAGCGCTGGCTTCGAGTTGATCAAGCAACAAAACCTACTAGATCTAGATCACGTCAAGCTCCAGCCGCCGACTAGGTGCCAGTGCCAATAGCTTCTAAAACAAATTAAATAAATAATAATAATAAACTCATTTAAAATCAACAGACGCTCATTTCGTCTGTATCCTCTGATGCAACTGCAGAGATTTATCGATTTAGAACAAGATGCAAGCTATTACCTTCACTGCAGACACTGGTTTCTACACAATAGACAGAACAGGGACATTTGATTGATCAAAGAGGATACAGGTCAAGTCCAAGTCGAATCCATCTTCCTGGTATCTATTTTTGTTCCGACTGACAAATTCTTTTATGATCGCAGCCATGGCTGTGATAGGAGTCTTTGCGGTTTTAGTGTGTGCGAGAGTATTGTTGCTTTCGGACGATCGGTCGACTTAATGCTCTGCTCGTTTCGCAGTCCCCCTGCTAGCTAGAATGGAGTCTGCTGTGGCTCTCTCATCAAGGGCCTCGCTCCAAACCACCACAGGCCCGGCTTCCAAAATGCCCTCCTCAGCTCAGACGAGCCCTGGGTGAAAAGATAAGCGACGTCCCACGTCTCGAACTGCAGAATTTCTAGTGCACGACAAGTCTCTGGTCGCACCGTAGCCGCCGTGATTGAATGGAAAGGCGGAGAGAGGGTCCTCTCCGTGCGCTTCCACCTCAAGAACGGTTGTCAAAGCCCCGCTCGCACTCCGCTCGCGTTCCGTCTAGCCGCTAGCTTCAACGGCTAGCGCGCTAGCTCGTCTACCCATCCTTAAAAAAATAAAAGCCATCGAACATTGCAACAATCCGCGATGCCCAGGTTCCAACACATGAAATGAAAGGTGACAGCCTCCACCAAGAAATTAAAAACTCGATATTTAAATGTCACGTAGGAGCGGTCTCCAGGCGGGTCCTTTTCCTTCGCTGCTCCTCTGTTAAACTCTCAAACTTCCATCATGGCTTCCCATTGAAAAAGGTGACGTTCGGACAACATATTCATACGCTGTGTGAAGTAGTTCCACGAATATACCAATGCTTTTTCTGTATTTCAGTATATAGATACACACATTATTAGGTACAAATATTGAACTGTTATGACGTTAAATAAAAAAAAATACATTAAAATTTTTTTTAGGTACAGCAAGCGGAAGAATACAGTCAGAGCACAAACGAACTACTTTTTGTTCCAGGGTCACGTGTGTACAGAAATGAGGAAAGTTTCCAATATTTTATATCAGATTTCAAGTCAGTATGTAGGTTTTACAGACCTGCATTCTCGTTTCTTTTTTGAAAGACTTATTTATTGGTCTGACCCATGGTGACCGAAAAGAACAACCTGGAAGGTATATATTTGAAACACTACTGTATACGGGGGGGAAATATCAGAATGCGTGTAGTTAACGTTACCCCCACCACCAATGCCTTTACTACCCTGCAATAGAAGGCAGGAAATTGCTGAAATGCTTACGCAAGCAGAAAAGTAAGTTACTGCATAAAGGAGCAAGCACATAATTTGGTAATTATAAAGTGATTATATAAATTAATTGCGCCAGCGATTACGCAAATGTTTTTAACCATGTATTAATGCAATATGCGTGTTCTGTACCATTTGCTGAAATGCGCATTTAGCCCCCAAGGACGGCGCAGAGGTGGAAAGTTCTAGTTGAGTTTACAGCGCCATCTGTCAGATTAGAATGAAAGTTTGTAGATATTACAATGATACATTCTCTTGTGCTTTTCCAGTACAACCCCTTTCTAAATGTTTTGACATTTTTTTTGAATTTTTTTTATCTGTATTTGTAACATTATTTAGGAGAGCTTGTTTGAAGGAAATGTTAAGTAGCAAAAGAAATAGCTTATAAGCTTTTCCCATACTTTTTTCTATGACAATGCTAGGATAAATTCCACACAGAATCATATATAGAATAAATCGAATGAAATAAATAGATACATTTTAAGAGTTTTATTATTTTGTAATTATTTTGTGTCAGTGAATAATAAATATCACAATATATGTAAAGATTCAACCAAATTTATGCTCAGATTTTAGTGTATTTTTTATGTGTGGTGCTTTGTGTATGACCTAATTTATAAGTTATTTATGATTTATTAGTATGTTAGATATGTTCGTTTTATCTGGAATTAATAAGTCATTCCTTCTTCATGGTCTGCTATATTTTTACACGTATCCCATTTGCCGTTGAATAATACCTGTGTCCTTATTGTTATAATGACAGCTCGTCTTTGCCAGGAGAGGGTAGTGGTGTGCTGAGCTCGAACTGACAGTATCAGATTTGAGTGTGTAGCCTATCAGAAGAGTATTATTGATAGCCTATACTGCAAGTCACAAAATTGCATCTTGAAACAACGGAACTAGTTTTTATTTATTGCATTTTATGTATTGTTTTATTTCATTTCATTTTATTCTTTTATTTTATTTTCGGTATAGTTAGTTTAATTGTTAGGCTATGTTATGTTGTGTAGAATGCGTTGAATTGTATTCTCAGTCTACGTTTGTAAAAAAAATAATAATAATAATAAAGACTTTCTGTTGTAACAAACAAACAAATAAATAAACAAACCACTGAGCCCATTTTCACACAGTTTATATGTGCATCTTGACACTGAAAATCGACATTAGCCAGTCATCTTTATCATCACAGTTAACATCTTTAGACACTCCACATCTGATTTAGGCAACGACAATTGTTCCTACAGTCGTGAGTCTCATGCACAATATTGAATCATGCAAATAAGGCCAAATGGTTTGCCACTGTGCTATTCGTACTGTATCTTTATAAAAGTTCACAATGTTGATGCAGTTTAAATACAACATAACATGGACAGCATTAAATAAATCTTTGAATTACGTAATTATCAGTGTCTTTGACTTTACAAGTAGGGGAGCGCGGGGCACAAAGTAACGCGGGGTTAGTTGTAACACACATGGTTTGAATATTTCCACACATGCTAGCATAACCAAATGTACAGTATTTATTAGTTACCATATCAACACTATATAGAAAAAAAGTGGGCCAAAAATTCAAAAATCTTTTGAAGATATCAATGAACATTTATTTTACCATAGTAAATTCTGGCTTAAGTAAATTGTTCATCTCTGTTTTTATTAATCATTTAAAATGAGACAAATCTGCTAATATTTTTTTTTATCTCCAATCTGTTATTTATATGCTTCGCTAACTAGCAGAAGACTGCAACTGGTTTTTAACTGCAGTTGTGCATATACGGCACGTTGTAACACTGCGTTACAGTGTGCTATTCTATGGCATTAGCGATGTAATTTACACTATTTTTTACTTTAATTTATTTGAATGAGAAACAACGAGAAACAGGTGAATAAAGACTGACAGTCAATGTTTAATGTTTAGAAATTATTATTTCAAGACATGTAAAGCATTTTTGCTCGTTTATATGGGCCGTCCCAAGCATGATTGCAATGTGTTTGTCAAACTCCAAAATCTGATTATTTTTAATTCTTAAAAAACGCCATTATTTTATTTGAAAAAAAACAATTATTTTATTAACAAAATATTTTAGTTTGTCTTGTATATTTTTTTCATTCGATCAGATGATATCTTAAGCTGTCATATGATCATGTTACAACGTGCCCCTCAGATGTTACAATGTACCCCACGGGGCATGTTGTCACATTTCACTTCCATTTTTTGAGGGTAAATAATGAAAAACTTATACACTGTAATCATGAAACAAAGCGACATATTTGTACTAGACAAGTGTGAAATTACTGTGTATTAAATTATATTCTGAACCCCATGTGGATTTACACAAACTGAGAAAGTCAAAAACTGTCTCCCCTAGGTTTTCTTATTTGCGTCATTCAAACAGAAAGCGTTTGGATCCACTTGCAGCTTTTATTAGAATGGTCAGACAATAAGGTCAAATACCGGCAAGGTAGAACAGCAGAGACAAGGCTGAGACAGAGTCGAGTACCAGGCGAGAGATCGGGGCAGGCGGCAAGCAATCAGAGTCCAGGGGAAACAATCCAAGTCTGGGCAGGCAGATAAAAATCTGAGTAACGGGAAACAGTCCAATAACAGATGCACAGAAACTCAAACACGGGTATAACGCTCGGAAATGACAGCCGGGGCAAATCAAGTCTTCGCAGAGTCAGTGTGTGAGAGTGGTTTATATGTGTGTGTGTATATGAGGTGCAGGTGTGGATGATTAATCAGTCCCAGGCATGAGGGGTGATGGGAATTGGAGTCCGAATGGGAATGTCTAATATTCGGGAGACGGTTCCCTCTGGTGGTGCGGAGGAGGCGGTAAGGGAGCCTCCTCTGTAACAGTGACTGTGGGTCTCATCGCAACACAGTTGAAGGGAAGCATTGCCAAAACAAAACCACTACATTTCTGGTAAGTGACCTCTTTATTAAGAGTTTCAGTTTGTATTGCTGAACGAGGAAATATGAAAATATGATTTACTTTGTTTACTTTATGTTAAGTAGGCTACAGTAGCCTATTTTGTTTGTAAGGTTGTGAATAAGAAAATATGAAAATAGCCTATGATTTCATAGCCGAGTTCAGCCTAGTTGTGGCATAAATGGGCACTAAATCACAATCTACACCTATCTAAATATTTGACAGTTCCGCCGTTATAAATTAGGCTGAACCCAACTACTCAGTTATTATTGACGCTGCCATAGTACCTTTTATGACATGATGACGCTTGTTGCGTCTGTATCCATTGTTGATCCCATTAAATGACTAACCAAATCTAAACCACGACAACCCTTACCAAAAAGAAGTATACTTCAAGTTTAGTTTATCAAGTACACTTAAGTAAAGTTCAAGTATATTTTAAGTATACTTTATGTAGTAAGTATATACATATTAGTGTACTTGTAAGTGTACTATTTCAATACTCCTTGGGACTAAATTGGCCCACTTTCTAGTATATTATAGTATACTTTTAAGTATACTTTAAGTATAACGGTAGTAAACTTTGAGTACACAACTAGTTTACATCTATGTTTTTAGTTTGTACTGCAACTAAAAGTGAACTTACATGTATACTGATAGTTTACTAAACTACTAGTTTAGTAGTTTTATACTGCAAGTATACTCGTAAGTTTTCTTTAAGTGAACTTTACATCATACTTTAACCCTATAACTGGCAACGTATCCTGTGGGATAGAAACATTTGAGAGGCTGTGGGGAGAGGCAGGGAAAGTGTAGGTCTCATTTCTTTATTTCATGTTGAAAGGGTGTTTGTTGTGAATATTTTGATATATTGACTTTGTTCATACATTCTTTGTTTAGCTCACGGGCAGCATTTAAAACTGCATGTCCGCCTGTAGTGGGAAATCTACTCACCCTCCTATAAAAGTTGATCTAGTTCATATTTACACACGTTGGAGGGGACTTACCTGTTTAAAAAGCTGTTGTTCAGCAATAGCCTATTAGGTTTACATTGAAATTTTATGAATTAAATGCTTACATTTTTTGTAATCTGTCTCTAAATGTTTGTATCTCAGGGGATACATCGCCCTTTTAGGGGTATAAATCAAGATAAAAACATATATATATATATATATATATATATATATACTCTGTGGTTTTGTGGCTTGTGTTTTAGAAAATCAAACCTTTTTGTAATCTTGACAAAACACATATTGTTGGAAAGGTCTGACAGTCAAGGTTCCATATTTGGTGACTGTTTTGTAATAGAAGTGATATTGTGACAGAAAAGTATTGATTTGGGACAGAAAACTGCATCAAAAGAATTCAATAGAGTTTGGGTCTCACCCAGTGGTTATTTTTGGTATAGTGCCCAAACAAAATCTCACAGGAACCACAATTTTGGTGATATCAACTTCAAATTTGGAACGTAACTTGGTTAGACATATGGCTTAGATTTTATAGCAATTTGAAGTGCAACATATTTTATATTTAAGTATTTATTTTATATATAA